TGAAAATATCGCTCGTGATTTTACACGTCATGCGGTTGCTGAGAAGGCAAAAAGCGGGCAAAAGGTTAGATTATCCTCAATTTTTTATAACATGATTCACTGTTTTCATGCAAAAATCTCCTGCGTGAGCTGATCTGGATTATAGATAATCCTCGTTACGTAATGTATAATTAGCATCAGAAAATTACTATTCGCCCTACAAGAAATGGCATGCAAAAACGCTACTGAAATTTTTGAGTTATTCTGGTTATTTTTTTAACCATATAACTTGACTGCAGCCTTACTCAACTGTGATTCCTTTTTTTTTTTAAATATTTGTCACCACAATCGTCGTACTAGCAAGGTCCAGTTGTGGGTAATGGTAAGAAATGTATACGACTCTTAATGGACTGAAACATTTCTTACCCGTTACAAATATTTCTATACTCTCATTTCCCTTTTCCACTTCTTTCTTTCATCGTTTTTTCTCCTTCTTCACTTTTTTCTACTTCATCATTTTCTCTTTATCCGTTAATTGAAGTGATTTTCTAACCTGTGCGGTGCCTTTCAATTGTAGAGTACCACACTGATAGCACGCAATAAATTCCATGGGTGCAGAGCAGAAAAAGACACCTTAATTTTGTTGCTTGTGACGAATATGACATTTGTCATCAAAATAAAACTAATTCTTTGTTTCTTGCTTCCTCTTGTTTTAGCATGATTTTCTATAGGAATTTTTTCGTAGCGTCCCACCAGATCCATCGCTTTTAGTTGATTTTTTTTTTATGCCTAATTGTTTCATTTTTGCGTTTTTCAAACTCTTTTACTTTATTAGTTAATTTCTTACATTTTTATTCTATCTCGGACGAGGAATTCCATGAACGGAGGTTTTCAAAAATGGCTGTGGACATGAAGGGAATCGAACCTCTCCCCTTCACATTCAGACGCGGTGTTACCTCCTACACTACTGGCCCCTGTGATTTGGTATCAGAACTTGGCAGCACATCTACTGTGTATCCGCGTTTTAAGACAAAATGCACCTTTTTTGCTTCCTCCTATAGTCAGTACGCATCTTTGTCTTTGTGGCAGCTTTTTCTTTGCTGACTTTTTACGGTTTTTCCGCAGCACAAGGAACTTCAATCGCTGTTGAGGCGAACGAAGTTCTTAATGTGAGGACACTGTTTGCTTCATGGGCCCATGCTGTAGGTAATGTAAGTCAGTCAAAATGGTTATAATTCTTATGTTATTTCATTTTTAGCAAACTGAGGAGACACTGTCCTCTGCGCCAAGCACTTCAGAGAGACTCACAAGATCAGAAATTATCGAATTTCTCATCAAATATGGATTACCATATAGCCTAACTGTATGTTTTTTTAGAATTTTTTTTAGCAAATTTAATAAATCGAAGTTTTTCTTAAGTGGAACATTGCATTAAAATATCGCCCCTAAACTGTTTTTAAATCAAAAAAATAGGAACAACATCTTCACATTTAATCCCTCCTTGTAACGAATGCACTTAAAAATGGTCCTAGTAATAGTAAAAAAAAAAAAAAAAAAACTATCTGCTAGCTTTTTTTCCGACAAGTTCCTTTTGTGACGACTGTTTGGAAGAAAATCGGTGTCTGCTGCTAAGAATATCAATTTTTCACTAAAAAAATGAACGGATCGTCGGCGAGCTACCTTCCTTTTGGCGGATTCAAACCTACGACCGGCCTATAAAAGCGACTTTACTTACAACTGCTTTGCTCCGGCAAGTGCTTTTTAATACCAGGAATGCCAAGACCGCCCGAGCTGTTAAGTTGCTTTTTAATAATGAAAGAAATGA